CCCCTCCCTTCTAGCCCTGATGATGTTGCCTAGTTGGGTCATGAAACGTCTGCAAGAAAAGCACCCACCTCAGAGAACACCAAGGACCCCACAGTCCTCCTCCTCCTCCTCCTCCCCCCTTCTCACTAGCTGGCTTCACACATTACCCTAAGCCATTCTTTCCTTAACCATGGTTGGTTGGACAATCCACCCTCGGCTGGGTTCCGTCACGTACTCCGCTTACTGTGGGCTGTGAAACTTAGTTTTATAAGAACTAAGCCCAACGTAAGCTGGAAACGGTACTTTTTTGGGCTCAACGGCAGGGAGATACGTTTGGTTTTTAACTCTTTGCCGCAAAAGCTTGCACGTTCGCGCTCTTGGCACGTTTCTGCCACGCTCCTCCATGTTCGCTCCACTCTCTGCCCACGGAGTCATTTTTCCCTTCTCCCCGGGCTATTTCAGGCTTTTCTCCTCGGCTCCATCCCGTCCTTTAAATAGATTTATTTTTGTACTTCTGCAGTCCTTAAGCCTCTGCTTGCTCCACTTTTTGGTGGGTGGAAGCCCCTAAAAAGGGTCACCCCAAAAATGAAGCTGGCCTGTTGGGAAACAGCTAATAAACTGCTTTTATGGGGCAAATCTTCTCTGAAATGGTTTACTTATTCCACTATCTCAGGGGTGGCCACAAAGAAGAGGGGGGTCCAGCTATTCCCCAGAGCACCAGAAGGCAGGACAAGAAGCAACGGGTGGAAATTAAATCAAGGAGAGAAGCAACCTGGAACTAAGGAGAAACTTGGGAACAATTAGTCAGTGGAACAACTTGCCACCAGGAGTTGTGGGTGCTCCATCCCTGGAGGTTTTCAAGAAGAGATTGGATAACCATTTGTTTGAAATGGTGCAGGGTTTCCTGCCTGAGCAGGGGGCTGGACTAGAAGACCTCCAAGGTCCCTTCCAGCTCTATTCTGATTGATTGATTGATTGATTGATTGATTGATTGATTGATTGATTGATTGAAATGGTCTAAGGTCTCCTGCTCGAGCAGGGGGTTGGACTAGAAGACCTCCAATGTCCCTCCCAGCTCTATTCAGATTGATTGATTGATTGATTGATTGATTGATTGATTGATTGATTGATTGAAATGGTCTAAGGTCTCCTGCTCGAGCAGGGGGTTGGACTAGAAGACCTCCAAGGTCCCTTCCAGCTCTATTCAGATTGATTGATTGATTGATTGATTGATTGATTGAAATGGTCTAGGGTCTCCTGCTTGAGCAGGGGGTTGGACTAGAAGACCTCCAAGGTCCCTCCCAGCTCTATTAGCCTTTTATTCTGCTCGGCCACATTCTGCCTTCTTTGCTTCAATCCTTAGACTTTGCCCTGGTGTCTCATAAACAGCCACCACCAATAGAAGTCTCGCCCTGCCCTATTCACAAGCAGCCAACAATCCCGGTTTCAGCGGGGGCATCCCGAGGCCGGACACTTAGCCAACATCGGAAAGCGGTCTGGACTGTCTCTTAAAACCGGGTGCTTGAAAATATCCGGCCTGTGAAATTTGGAACTCTTTGCAAAGATCGTAACGTTCCTAATATTCTGTGTTGCTCGGCTGCCCTCTGTTGCACCTCCACGGAAATGTCTGGAGGGATTTTAAATCACGGTCAGTTTTCCTGGTCAGTGGAGAAAGAGAAGCGTGTCGGTCTACAGTAGCAAAGAAAAAATAAATAAAATAAAAATAAAATAAAGAGTCTGGGAGCTGAGATTTTGTCTTTTAAATAAGATTTGCCAGCTGGAAAAAAAAAACGCTCTCAGATTCCTTCTGACGAAAAGCTATTTTTTTTAGAGACTTTTTTTTAACCCTCAAATAGAGTCAAATCAGATGAACAGAAGAGCAGCATTAATTCATTGACGCAAGTCCTCGATTTACAACTTATAAAAAGTTCATTGAGGGACCGTTCAAAGTCACCCCGGCCGGTGTAGGTTCTCCTGCTTCAGCAGGGGGCTGGACTAGAAGACCTCCAAGGTCCCTTCCAGCTCTGTTCTATTCAAAACAACTGCAGCGAGTCGCTGTGACGAGAATGGGATTCAAAATTCAGAAGACTCCTATTTATGACGGTCTATCTCCATGGAGCGTGAAGTCGGCCAGGGTTGACCGAAACCATCTCCGTGGCCGACAGCAAAAGGAAAGCAGATGGGGGGGGAGGTGAGATGGCTGGGGGGGGGGAAATCCACCAAACCAGTCTGGCCAGCAAAACCAGTCCATCCATTTCTCTTTGCCCCATATATTTTGGAGAGTAGCTGCCTTCGGAGGTTGATCCCTGGGCCAACTTCTGGAGATGCTTCCAAAAATATCTCCTCTAGGTTTTTTCCCCCCATCAGGAGCAGTTCATTTAGTGACCATTCAAACTCAACAATTCATTTAGTGACCATTCAAACTCAACAATTCATTTAGTGACCATTCAAACTCAACAGTTCATTTAGTGACCATTCAAACTCAGAACGGCACTGAAAAATGGGACTTAGGGCCATTTTCACAGTTGTGACCGTCGCAGCCTGCCCCTCCCCACGGTCACATCATGAAAATTCAGAGGTTCGGCAACCGGCTCGTATTTATGACGGTCGCAGTGTCCCATGGGGGGGGGCGTCGTCACGTGATCCGCTTTTGCGACCGTCTGACCGGCAAAGTCAAGGGGGAAGCTAGATTCATTTAACGACGGTGCGACTAGCTTAACAAGGGCAGCGATCCCCTTAGCCACTGTGGCGAGGAAGCGTCGTAAAACGGGGCGAAACTCACTTAAGGAAAGGTCTGACTTAGCAACGGAGGTTTTTGGGGGGTCAGTCGCGGTCGTGAGCCGAGGACTAGGGGAGTAGGTGGAAAACGACACGTGGTCTTTAAATGGAACGTTTAGGCCCCCCCCAACAAAAGATGGGTTTCACTTAAAGGGAACCTAAATTGCACAGATTGCCCTGGGGTGCCTGGATTGCCTGCGCCCATTAGGCCTTCCTTCCTCTGGGTGGGGGCTGTCCCCAGGGCAGTGACTGTGGTTTCTCCTGGAAGGTCACAGCCTGCGCAACTTTGAACCAGGAGGGTTCCCGAAGCCTTGGGGGGTGTGTGTGTGTGTGTGTGTGTCTGGCTTCCTTGCCTTGGATGGGGGCAGAAGACCCTGGGGGGCAGAAGAGCCCGCCTTGGTGTGGAAAGGCCAGGCGATGAATCAGAAGGTCCTGTTCTCAGGTGTGTCACCTCCCAAACAGGTGGAGTCCCCCCCCCACCTCAACTGTAGGAAAACATTTGAGTTTCTTTGGCTGGAGAGAGAGAGAGAGAGAGAGAGGAGAAGGGAGGGGGGAAGAGTGGGTGGGTTTGGGATGGGAAGGAAGGAAGGAAGGAAGGAAGGAAGGAAGGAAGGAAGGAAGGATAGAAAGTAAATACTGTATATGATAGAAGTTAGATGAGAGAGAGGGGTAAAATGGAAGGAAGGAAGGAAGGAAGGAAGGAAGGAAGGAAGGAAGGAAGGAAGGAAGGAAGGAAGGAAGGAAGGAATAGAAAGTAAATACTGTAGATGATAGAAGTTAGATGAGAGAGAAGGGTAAGATGAAAGGAAGGAAGGAAGGAATAGAAAGTAAATACTGTAGATGATAGAAGTTAGATGAGAGAGGGGGTAAGATGAAAGAAAGAAAGAAAGGAAGAAAGAAAGGAAGAAAGAAAGAAAGAAAGAAAGAAAGAAAGAAAGAAAGAAAGAAAGAAAATGGATGGATATAAGACAGACAGACAGACAGACAGACAGATAGACAGATAGATAGATAGATAGATAGATATAGATAGATATAGAGATAGATAGATAGATGAAGAGAGAGAGAAAAAGAAGGAAGGAAGGAAGGAAGGAAGGAAGGAAGGAAAGAAGAAAGGAAGGAAGGAAGGAAGCAGCTGAGGAAGGGAAAGAAACCACGTGTTCCTTAATCATGGAAACCATCACGTATTTGTTTCACACAACACTCCAAGCCTCAAATCCTGGCTTTACAACCTCTTATGAGTTGGGTTTATGCAGAATCTAATCCACCATTGTCAATCGCAGCCAGGTGGGATGCTGCAAACTTCCATAAATCCAGAAGAAAAGATTTGGACAATCTTTTGTCTGGAATATTCCAGGGTTTCCTTGTGGGGGGGTCTTCTAGTCCAATCCCCTGTTCAAGCAAGAGACCCCATGACCATCCCAGACCAACGGTGGTCCAATCTCCAAAGCCTCCAGTGATGGAGCACCCACAACGTCCGGAGGGAACCCTCAGGAGAAACGTGGTCACGTCCATCACCTCTTCCTCCTTTTTCCTCCTCACCTCAACGTCCGAGTTTAGGGATGCTGCGTGTGTGACCCCCACCCCCACCCCACCCTCACCTCCTTCCAGGTGTTGTGACGAAACCCCAGATGGATGACCAGGCTGAGGAAACCCTTCCTCCTCCCCAAATGTCACGGGGGCAGAAATGCAGCCCAGCAGGAAATGCGAAAGTTCAACTGACGCATGGGGGCAGCTCCCCAGGGCCCTTAAAAAGCCCCTTCGGAGGACCCGGTCCATGCACGAAGCCTCCCACAAGCTCTTGGAGATGAAGGGCCTCCAAGCTGCGGTAAGAAGTTCTTCTTCTTCTTCTTCTTCTTCTTCTTCTTCTTCTTCTTCTTCTTCTTCTTCTTCTTCTTCTTCTTCTTCTTCTTCTTCTTCTTCTTCTTCTTCTTCTTCTTCTTCTTCTTCTTCTTCTTCTTCTGCGTCTTCTGCGTCTTCTGCGTCTTCTGCGTCTGCGTCTTCTTCTGCTTCTGCTTCTTCCTCTCCTTCTCCTTCTCCTTCTCCTTCTCCTTCTCCTTCTCCTTCTCCTTCTCCTTCTCCTTCTTCTTCTTCTTCTTCTTCCCTTCTTCTTATCTTCTTCTTTCCTTCT